CTTCAGTCAAAATGCCTGACTGCCATTAATGTTTTTGTTTGCTCTGCACCACTTTTCTGACCCATAATCTTATTGGTTTTATATGTAGATATACAGCTTTTATAAAAGGGCTCTGTTTCTAAGTTGAAATGTTTTCGTATCTTCATGTAATGAAATATCTTACTTCGTTCTTGATTTTGTAATAAGATACCAGCTTTGGATCATATCTGACTCACTTATCCTGGTAATTTGGCATTCAATGTCTTACCAAATATTGGCAAGAGAGAGATTGGCAAGGCTCTGCATAGTATCAAGTGTTTTCATAGGAGAATATGTCTCATTTAAGGTTCATTTATAGCTTTGTTTTGGAATAAAGAAATGTCGGAAGGTCCCTGTTAATGAAACTAGATGGTTCCTTTGGTGATGCACTTCTACAATCACTTAGTATAAGTATAAATTATTATTATTATTATTTTTTTTATCCTTTTTGGATCATAAGAAATGTTATGATTAGAGAAGACTTATCATCAATAGATGTTTTTAAATGATGAGTGAATATTAATGACAATGGCATATTAGTTATAGTACTAATTGTTTCTTTACTTCCAGCAACACCAACAGGAGTACGAGTTCTCAGTGTTGATATTTTACAACATCGTGTTAGAAATCTTGAAGATGAAAATAAAACACTGCGTCAGGAAGCAACACAACTTGCTAGTGACACACTTGAATGCGAGTCAAAGGAAAAAGAACTTGTCACAGACATCATCAAACAGCTTAGTAAGGAAACAAGAGTATTTAATGAATTAATGCCCAGAAGGCATGTGTACATAACCTGTTCATTATAACATTTTGTTTAATTTTGTTGCACGTTGTTGTCTTAATCACATGATTTACCCTTTTTTCTTGACTTTTTTTCTATTAGTATTGATAATGTCAATAATAAGAACCATAATCAGAACACAATTAATGTAGACAATCCATATACCTAATGCCATTGGGTTTATTGCGCAAGGTACATAACGCTTGCTACAATGTAGTATAATGTAGTCTTAAATATAAAGTGAATTTGAATTGCACTGATCTGTGCATACGTAAATGTGTTTTTGAGAGGTTGTACAAACACACCAGAAGAAGTGGCTGATCAATGTGTATTGAGTAAGGCGAATTTAAATAAATTTTTACTTGTGAAACTTAATAAAAAGGATGTTTCAGGAAAGAAAATATCATTTATTGATGTTTCAGAGAACTTAAGTTTAGTCTGAAATGATGGTAGGAGCGTCGAGGTTTACAAACCTGAACTTATCAAACGATTAGTCTTGCCACTTTTGTGTGTTTCATGTCAATACCGTCTTGACAGGTCTCAATCTACTAATCAAAACCTTATTACACCTCAGAATAAAATCAAATCCATACAAAATATCATTGCTAACAATTTAATAATCATAACATCAATAACGATAATAACAGTGTCGATAGCAATGGTATTAATTTTCCCGCCAATTCAATGAATGGGAAAATCAGGGTCAGTAACTAGGGCCTACTGATAGACTCCTTGCCGGCTGAGCACATGTGGAGCCATCTGTATGTAATAAAATTCACTACAGGGGACAAAACATAATCTGGGGCGAATGGGTTAAAATGCTTAAACTTATTGATCAACTCGCTGCCTTTATTTACTGGTAATGCCAATGTTTGTATGACCTTTGCAATGCATGCACACTGCTCAGTACCTGTCATTCTATTTTAACCCATTCGCCCTGGAATTATGTACTGTCCCCTGTAGTTTTTGGTGAATTTTGTTACATACAGATGGCTCCATGTGTGCTCAGCCTATCGATACTGTTATTATTGTTATTGATGTTATGATTATTCAGTTGTCATTAGAATATCTTAGACAATGAAATGATACAAAAAAACTTTTCCTAAAGTGAAGGAAAAGGGTAAACAGGTGAAATAGGTAGTTCTTGATAACTGGCTAATTGGTGATTAAGAACTTGTGCAGCCATCTATGTGTAAATACAATAAATAAACATATATCGAAGTGGGCATGGCATCTGTTCTTGCCACGTGGGGGAATGGGTTAAGCACGGAAGCTGATATGTGGATCAGCACTATTGATTATTTCAAAATACAGGATAAACATGTGTAAATAATATTCCTGTCTCATATAGGTGATGCCAACTTGCAAGTCCGACAGCTTAGTGATGACTTGGCAAAGAAAGTGGAAGACTCCTTACGACAGCAGGAAGAGATCACTCATCTTTTAGCACAAGTTGTTGATCTTCAGTCTCGAAACAAAAGACTTGGCCAGGAAAATGAAGAACTTATCAACATGGTTGGGGTTGCACGAGAGTGTCAGCAGGAATTAACTTCAGAATTGGCAGAACTTAAAGAGAAGTATGCTGAGGTTTTAGACCTTTTACACGACACGCAAGACCAGCTTAGGCGGGTCCAAAAGAAGGTGAGAGAATTTAATTTCTTTTGTAACTTGAAATCTATAACAAGGATTAGCCTGTTA